TTGCCCACACAAGGAGTTTGTATTTGCACTTCTTGTTATTTGAGACATTTCCAAAGATCGGTCTCAGGTCCTCTAAGTTCGGATGAAAGGTTTATCTTTCAAAAAATAACTTTCAGAAGGATTTTTTTTTTTTTTTTTTTGCCTGAACATGAACTCAGGGCATTTCTGGTTTGGCTGGAGTATCTGGGATCGAACCAGTGGAAATTGAGCCTCACTGCTTTTTTAAGCCGGCACTTAAACAACTGAGCTAATGGGCGGGACCCCCAAAACTTTCAGATATTGATACAGTTTAGAAATACTTATGTGTTGGTTTTGGTACAATCACCAGGAGGACAGACCTCAAAATAGCCAATCATAATTACAGAGGTCACTTGGGAAGTTGTTTTCAGACTTCATACTGTTCAGAGTTTCAGTAAACATTCTTGTTCAAATTGTACTCCTGGTGACAGACTTATTACACAGAAATAGATGAGGTGGGAACAAGTAGGGGCACATAAACCCCTATGACCATATAGAAATTTTCGTGAATGCGCTCCATGTGACAACTTATCGAATCTGAGAGTTTGGGCACAAACTCATTTGTATGTATAGTTACAGGGGGAGATCTTCATCTTTCTCCAAGATTAAAGTGTTAATTATTAAAAAAAAAATAGTCTTGAATTTTTAAGCCACGACTCTGGAATTCCATTAGTTAATCTGACAAGCAAAAAGCTTGTAAACTAGTGAAAACTAATTTTTCTGAAAGAAACGTGCTAAGGAGTGACTGGAATCTTAAATTGGCTTGCTCCCTGGGAGCCCGGTTCTTGGTGCTACGAGTGCTCTGGCGGGAACGCGTTGCACGACACCAGGAGTGTGTTCCTGTGAGCCCTCAACCCGCTTCCCCGGGGCGCCCAGCTGGTGCTTTGACCGCGGTGGAATGCGCCACAGATAACTGCTCTTCATTAACAGAACTCGACACAATAGACGCAACAAAAGCAAAGATCATTCCTTTTCCCTATCGATTTGAACCCCAGTCAGTGTGCGGGCTCCGTGGCTTAGCTGGTTAAAGCGCCTGTCTAGTAAACAGGAGATCCTGGGTTCGAATCCCAGCGGGGCCTTTTTGTGGTTTTCCCGTGTGCAGTAACAGGGTTCATCGGTATGTACCGTTTCAGGTAATTTTCATCCATTAGGCTTCCCCAAGGTTTTTTAAATACAGATCAAAGTTTTGGCTCTCTCCCTTGTTTACAAAAAGGAAACAAATATAAATTTGTTTCTCCTTCTGAAGAATGAAGTTCTGTATTTCTTGGTTTTCTTACATTTTTATTCCACATGTAAG